ATATCCAGAAATGAGATTGTGGAACTCAATTTTCTCAATTTTGAACATTCAAAAATCTCATTTTGGAACTGCCATACTGTTTTTCATTAATAGTTTCACCATTTTATATTGCTACCAACAGTATAAAAGAGTTCCAATTTTTTCATATCCTCATCAACACAATTTTTAGCATGGGTTTATTTATCATTTTATTTATCATTTTTTATCTAGTCCATACAATTGAGAAAGTTTAACTTTAAATGAAGTTTTACTATTTTCAAACAAAAATATGGCAAAGAAGTATGACTAATATTTGATTAGCCCTCTCTATGTGTTTGGCACTTTACATGGATTATCTCAGTTATCACCACAATTTCATGATGAAGTCAAAGATGAAGTGACCACCTTCAGGCAACACAGTAAGTGGAGAAGCAGGATGTAAGTCCAGGGTTTCAGAGCCCATTCTTCCTAACACCACGACATTTCTTCTTTATGGATACTTCTTACCTCAGCTGCAGTAAATTTTTCCCTTGGCCCAGCTGTAATCCATAGTTTCACTCCAATTAGCTTCTCAGATGTGATTTCATCTTTTAAACTGGAAACATGATTTTAAAAGTAAATGTTAGGTCCATAATTTAAACCAACTTATGAACTACTTTAGCATCTTGGCTGTATGGAACCAAGGCCACAGAGGTCAAGAGATGCAGGAGCTTAGAGGTACATCGAGCAGCCTCACTCCCAAAGTGAGAATCCCCTCCTCAGCCTGCCAGAGTCATGCAGCCTCTAAAATACTTCCAATAAGCAAATGTGTTCAAATTAAACAATGCTAAGATATGAAGAAGTCCTCCAGCCAGGGGTAGTAGCACTGTAATCCCAGCAAATACCAAGGCAAAGGAAGAAGGATTGCAAGTTTATAAGTCCCAGACCAGCCTTGCCAACTTAACAAGGTCATGTCTCACAATAAAAAATTTAAAAGAGGTGAGGATGCAGCTCAGTGATAGCATGCCCTGGCTTCAATTCACAGGACTGCACACACACATACACATGTACACACATACATACACACACACACACACACATTAAAAAAAAAGTCTTCCAACTACTTATTCAGTCATCTCTTATCTCTTCCATCTGTTAGTTTATATGACTGTTTAATACATTCATACTCATGAAGAATACATACACATGTTTATAGCAGAACAATTCACAACAGCTAAACTGTGCAACCAACCCAGATGCCCTTCAATAAATGAATGGATAAAGAAAATGTGGTATATATGCACAATGAAATATTATTCAGCATTAAAAGAGAATAACATCACGGCATTTGCAGGTAAATGGATAGAGTTGGAGAATATTATGCTAAGTGAAGTAAGCCAATCCCAAAAAACCAAATGCCAAATGTTTTCTCTGATATAAGGACGCTGATTAATAATGGGGTTGTGGGGAAGCACGGGAGGAATAGACGAACGAACTCTAGATAGGGCAAAGAGAAGGGAGGAAAAGGGAGGGGGAATGGGGGTAAGAAAGACGGTGGAATGAGATGGACATCATTTCCCTAAGTACATGTATGAAAACATGAATGGCATGACTCTGTGCACAACCAGATATATGAAAAATTGAGTTCTATATGTGTAATATGAATTATAATGCATTCTGCTGTCATGTATAACAAATTAGAATTTAAAAATGCATTCACAAATACACACACATAAAGACAGAGATGTTCTCATTTAATTCCCATTTTTCCTTTCCCTAAACTGAAGTATCAATTCAAGTTAAAATATGGAGAAAGGCTTCAACATCTCTCTCTTTTTTTTTTTTTTTTGGCAGTGCTGGGGATTGAACCCAGGCCTCACTCATAAGCCCTTTATCACTGAGCTACATCCTAAACTAAACTTTTTTTCCCCCCCAGTGCCAGGGATCAAACCCAGGACCTCACACATGCCAGGCAAGCATTCTACCACCACTGAGCCACATCCCTAACCTTCAACATCTTATTATATGTATATAATAAGAAAATTTTTTGTTTTCGATTTTTAGGACAACTTAATAATATGGTAATTGGCAATTTTTTGAAAGATGTTTTAATAATAATTCATTTATTTTTGAATATATATGTATATATTCAAAATATACATATATATTTTTAGGGGAGGGATACTAGGGATTGAACCCAGAGGTACTTTACCACTGAACCACATGCCCAGTTCTTTTATTTTTTATTTATTTATTTTTAAGGCAGGGTCTCCTAAGTTGGTTAGAGGATCAAACTTGTGATCCTTGTGCCTCAGCCTCCTTAACCACTGGGATTATAGGCATGCCCCACCATGCCCAATCTTTTGAACAATCTTTAAATTGAGTTCTTTACACCTAACCAATCTATCTTTCATAAGAAAATCAAGACTTTTCAGTTTCGCCAGTAGACTAATATCACTTAGAAGCAAAAATAATGCACACAAGATTCAACTCACTTCTGAATCTTCCAATTACACCGAAGTCTTTTCTGCATGGATTTATAGCCATTGTTGGTGGTAAACACCTCCTTTTTGTATGCATTGAAAAGAATGGTGCTCCGAACCTCCTTATCCATGGTTACCTTATGGGAAAAAGACATCAGAAAAACAATAAACAATATTACAAAGAAAGACCCCAAAAGAAATAAATAATTGCCTTTCAGCTCTCTCTTACCCTTTCTCCTCTCTCTTTTTTTTTGGGGGGGGCAGTGTTGGGGATTGAACCCAGGGCCTCACACATGCTAGACAAGTGCTCCAACAGTAAGCTACATCCCTAGCCTTTCATTTCTAATTTATCAAAGAAAGGTTTACAACTTCAACCTATCTAGGACACTCTTACAATTCTCAAAAGTCGAGAGTGAAATATAGAATTACAGCTACAGAAACCAAAGGCCAAACCAAACCCAGCTTATTTCCTGGCTTTTGCTTCCATGTTCTTACCCTGGCCCTCCAACAAGCCTATTTCCATGACTTTGCCCACCATGATCCTGCTCTTGTGGGCCTGAGACCACATTTCCAAATTGTTTTGTCACTGCTAACTGCTACTAGGGTGGAATATAGCCTTCTAAATATCTCTCCCTCTCTCTCTCCATATATACATATATTTTTTAACAATTTTATTTTACTAAATATGATCTAATCATACACACTATTGTCCAACACAATTTTTCCAATTAACTTTGTATATTTGACATCCTTCCATGTCAATACATATAGACGTACCACATTCTGCTAAATAGCTATACAAATCCCATTTTGTGGATGTATCACAATATTTTTATGAATTATATGCTGATTGGCATCTGTCATTTTTTCCAAAAATTTTGCTAGTAAAATAATAAAGATACCCATTGTTTATTTTTTAATGTTTGGAATCACTCAGGGCCTTGTGCCTGCTAGGCAAGTACTCTACCATTGAGCTAAACCCCCAGCCCTAAAAATATAATTTTTGATCAAGATGTTTTTATAACTCTGTACATTTGTAGAATAAATTCCTATTTTTTGAATGGCTAAGTCAACATACAAATTGCCCTCCAAAAAACTGTAATCATTTGTACTTCCATTAACACTAATACATTTTTGTTTTCAGACAATCCTTTCTATTTCCAGTTTTTGTCAACTTTGCTGATAAAATACAGCATTCCCTTATCCTTCATGGTTTTTCTTTCTCAGGTTTTGGCTACCAGAGGTCAAGTGTGATCTGAAAACATGAAATGAAAAATTCCAATTTGTAAGTTTTAAATTGTGAGCCACTGGGAGTGGCATGATGAAATATCACATCTCTCTGTTCTGCCCTGGATGGGAATCATCCCTTAGTCCAGTGTACCCATGCTTTACACAGTACCCAGCTGTTGGGTCAATTAGAAGCTGCTTCAGGTATCAGACTGATAGTCTTGATACTGCAGTGCTTGTGTTCAAGTTACCTTTATGTACTAACCTAATGACACATATTTCTGCTTTTGCCACTGGTTATTTTCTGGCAAAGAACAAAAACCTAGGAAAAGGGATTAAACTTCTTTTGTCATTTTATGGTTTTTAAAGGGAGAGTGCAATGAAAGCTACAATTTCAGTTAACGGCTTATTGTGGTTGCATCCCTGGAGAGGGCAGCAGACCTGAGGGGCTGACCTATTAAAATTACTCAGAAATGAGCTTCCTTAAGGATGGGAAAGGACTTTAACACAACAATAATAACATTAAAACAAATATCTGCCCAACTATTCTCTCGCCTTCTTTTCAATAATCTTACTAGTCCAATCAGGACTTTCCCAGAAGAGTGATGAAGAGACCAAGGGTGGCAGCAATGAAAAGAGACCTACACCATACGTCTGCTCATCCAACGCTTTCACACTCAACAGGACGATTAAAAACCCAAGCAGTCCGAGGCGGTGGAGATTCGAGCCCAGTCCGAGGTCCAGGGTCCGGCCTATTTACGCGCGCTCGGTTCCTTTACCCCGGCCGACCTCCGATTTTCCTGAAGGCTGGCCCAGGAGCCTGTGGGCAGTCTGGCTAGGCCGCCGTTAGCCCCTAAGCCGCCCCATCACTCCGGCCGACCCCTTCCAGTCGGAGTCCTTCCTACCTGAGGCCCAGTGACCACCATCTTCACCTGACGTCGCCCAACATCCCGCGGACAGGTATCCAAGGCCGCCTAGCAACTGTGAAGGCGCGCCCGCGCGCGAGAAGGCGTGTCCCGGACGTAGAACTCCGCGTGGAGCGCAGCGACGTGATGACGACAGAACAGCAGCTGCGCGTTTGCCGCGGGCCTCAGGCGCGGGCGGGACTAACGTGGGATTATACCATTACTATGGGAGGAGGGGTAAATACAAACCCAACGAGGATTAACTTTTCGGCAAAAAGAAGTCCATTTCATTCTGTTCCTTAATAACAACTGATATTAAAAACTAATAAGAATGGCACGTCCCAAGGACCTAGAGCTCGCCCCACTCCGAGGGCACAAAATAGTGGAGGCTTCCGGCGGCGGAGGAAGGAGGGTAGGAGCGCCCCAGCCTGGGTCCCCAGGGCGCAGGCGCAGAACGTCTGGGCCGGAAGATGGGAGGGTGTGTCTGGAGTTCTGGTCGCCGGCTGCTGGAAGCACCTCCCTGGCCGTGTAATGCCTGATGCGAGGAGACTGAGAGGACAGGGACGAGTTCCCCGAAGAGGGTGGGCAGGAGTAACGGTGAGAGTAGTACCCCCAGATGTTCCCCTTTATTAACTGCACATCATTGAGCACCACAGTACCAGCCCGGCCTGAGCGTTGGGGATATAGCGGTGACCTGCTGCCCTCTAGGCGTCCGCAGACGGGGGCGGGGGGGGGGTCCTAGCAAAATGTAAAAATATGAACTGTCTTAGGGAGTTGTGAGGGGCCTGAGCTGGTTAGAAAGGAGCCCTTCCTCAGCAGAGATCTGAAAGAAGAGGGGCAATCATTAAGTCAATGGGGGAAAGAGTTGTGGACAGAAGGAATTGCTTGTGCAAAAGAGCCATCACCACGTATAGGTTGCCCTGACATCGCCATGAAAATGGGAAGGGACGCCACAACTGAAAACCATCCACCCTTCTCTCCTGAGGAGCTCTCTGTGTCTGCCCTAATAGAGCTGTGCTCTTGTCTGCAGGGCTGTGGCAGCCACCAGGCTGAAACAGATGAGTGCAGAGACATCTAACAGTTTTCGTTTACATTTATGTTTGTCTTCAGTATATACAGAGTATTGGGAGTTTAGGGTATTAAAACACACACAACTTGTTGGTTTTTCACAACTACCAAGACAGCAGATTTAAAAGAGGAAGAGGGTGAATGAGAGGTTTTTGTTTGTTTTGCTTTGTTTTCCCCCTGTGCAAGGAATGGAACCCAGGGCATCCACGTGCAAAAATGCCCTACCACTGAGCTGTATCTCCTGGACAAATTCTCTTACAGATGCTGCTACTGGTGCACAGTTGGATGAATACAGTCTGCAGTTAGGGAGAAAAATGGAAGTCATGTAGTTGGATCCTTCTGATCCTTCTGCCTTTTGTGCAGTCAGTATTTGCTTGAAGACCAAGAGCACCTGCCCAAAAGCACTTCTCTCACTGTCATAGGTTTTTGAAATAACAAGGTTTTTACAGTCACCTGCCGCCAAATTCTGTTCCTGGCTGTGACTTGCACCAGATGGGTGCAAGAACTTGCTTAATCTCTGAGTGAATGTTTCCTACCTATAAAATGAGGTTAATAATTTCTAAATGCTGGCTTATAGTGAGAATTGTAAAACATACATATAAAACTTAGAATGTGCTCCGTAAACATAGGTGTAGCATGATCAATTCAGTAGCATAGTTTTTCTTCATTTTTATTTTCTGTCCTGGTGAAAATTTTTGTGACTTTACAGTCTTGGATAGAACCACTCTCTTCACAATTCATAGCTGATTGTGTACTTTTAACAGAACTATCGTGTCTGATAGTTACACTCTTGATTTTTGCTTTGATGAGTTGGGATTTTGTCCTCACATTCCAAATTTGGCAGTTAGCAAGCACTATTAAGATGGAAATCAGTTTATTTCAATATTCTCAGCACATGTCAAAACTTAACATCAGTTCTTCCTGACCCAGCTTTAGGTCAGTGTCCTTAGTGTTCTTTCCATACTCTCCCGGCCACCCCCATAATTCCTGGGGTAGGAGATTGAGGGAAACAAAATGGAAGGAAGAGAGTGGGACTGAGTTCAGAGGCAAAGGCAATAAAATTGCCAGCACACTGATCCTAAGAAACTTTCTCCCCTTGTCTCCAAACCAAAAAACTTAATAAAGCCACATGAAGTATATACTACAGGTTTGTGAAAAAAAAAAAAAAACACTTTTCTACCAAAATAAGGCAGTATAATTCATCCCATAAGAGCAGTCTTGAGGGCTGGAGATGTGGCTCAAGCGGTATCGCGCTCGCCTGGCATGCGTGCGGCCTGGGTTCGATCCTCAGCACCACATACAAACAAAGATGTTGTGTCCGCCAAAAACTAAAAAATAAATATTAAAAAATTCTCTCTCTCCCCTCACACTCTCTCTTTAAAAAATAAAATTAAATTTAAAAAAAAAGAGCAGTCTTGAATTCCTGAGGTTGTACATGTTCACATTCTGTCCAATATGAATTGCCTTTAGAAAGGACTAATTCTGAACATACAGAGCTGTATAAGTGACCAGGAAGCTCTGGTCACCAGGGCCTGGGCTGTCCATGTGAAGTGGGGCAGGGCATGAACTTGACAACCAAACTAAGACCATGAGTGGGAGTCCAGTTCACTGTCTCTTCCACAAGACCTCTTTTTCTCACCACCTGGCTTATTCTAGCCAATTCTTACTTTAGCTCTCATTACAGATTTTGATGGTCATTCTGCTTGGACCTAACAGTCTGAGTGAAGGGCAAACTCACACAGAGGTTAAAGGTGAGAGCCCTGGAGCCAGGTTACGTGGATCTAAATCCCAGATCTAGCCTTTATTAGCGGCCTAGCCTTCAAGCAAGAAGTTACTTCTCCAACTCTGTTTCTCAATTGGCAAAAAATAAAATCGTAATAATTCCTTCTTATGGTTATTTGGAAGAAAATTGCTAATGGGCAATGAATAGTCTAACACAGAAACTCACTCAGCATAGACAGCCATTCTGAAACTGACTTTGCCCAATTAAGCCAAAAAAAAAAAAAAGGAGTGTTAAAAGGCTCAGAAGCTTAGTCTGAGGCAGAAGGGTTGCAAGTTTGCAACTTAGCAAGACCCTATCTCAAAATTTTAAAAAGGGCTGAGGATGTAGCTTAATGGTAGAGCACCCCTGGGTTCAATCCCCTAGACCTGCCCCCCAATTTTTATGTTATTATTTATATTGGTGGTACTGAGGAATGAACCCAGAAGTGCTCTATCACTGAGCTACATCCCCAGCCCTTTACTTTCCATATTTTTATTAGTGCATTATCGTTGTACGTAACGGTGAGTCAGATGCTCTTTAAGTCCTTGGCACAGCTTGAGAATGGGACTTGAGGCTTCCGGGAATGACAGATGCTGCAGCACTGGGCTGATGAGGAAACTGCTCCAGTTGCTGCTGCTGAGGACTCATTACTAGTACAATTTGTACTGTTGTCACCTCTACACCAGGAACCTAGTTTTGTGGGTACCTTTACCACAGCTGCCACCTGAAAGAGAGCTTCTGATCCCTTTTTGGTTCAAAGCATGGAATGGGTGTATTGCTGGGTCACATTCCTGGCCCTAGCTCAGGGGAAAGTCAATATATGGCATTTTGAGTGGAGATAGGGAGACTCATCAAGGCTCATAAGGTATTCCCTGTCTATTAGAAGGGGCTTAGATGCCAGGCAGCCAAACCCAATAATAGCAAAGAGTACATATCCAGTACACTACCCACAACAAAGAAAGAAACTATCAACACAGAATAAGAGAGATTGGGTAGTACCTTGTAGTCTTGTTATAGCTCTGTCTTTTTATGCACTAAGAGGCCTTCTGGTAAAGAATGCCAGTTGCCCACCCAATATTCTCCACATCTCCCTTAGCATTAGAGCTCTTTGCTATTAAGGGTCTTCGTGCACCCAGGCTCCATTACAGCAGTAAAGGATGGTTAATGAGATATCAGTGCAAGTCATTGGATGGAGCTTCTGGGAAAACACTTTTGGGGGCCAGGGTACTGGGGATCAAACCCACATCCCCAGTTCCCCAGTTCTTTTTTTTTTTTAATCTTTTATTTTGAGACAAGTTCTGGCTACATTGCTGAGGGTCTTGCTAAATTGCTGAGGCTGGCTCAAATTGCAATCTGCCTGCCTCAGCCTCCTGTGTCACTGGGAGTATAAGCATGTACACTGCATCCAGCAGGGAAAGCACTTTGATGTCCCCTCTCTTTTCCTCCTTTTGCCTGTCCAGGACACAAAAATGGAGACTAGAGAACCAGTAACCATCTTGTGATAACATATCAACTCTACTATCAGAAGCCATTTGTCAAGAGACCCAATAGAAATATGGAAAGCCTCTGAGTATCTAATGAGCTTCCTACCAGCCCAGGTCACCTAACAATGTCCTTCTCTCTGATGGGGAAAAAATGACCCTACTTCTTGTTTAATCCATCAAACTTATTACATTACTTTGAGTCTTACTAGCAGCTGAAAGTAATTCCTCCTATTACCAGCTGGCCTCAGAGGCTTCACAAGTGCTTCTCCTAGCAGTCCAAGAAGTCATCATCCTCAGGGGCATAGGAAAATCCCAGGAATGCACTTGAGGCCCCTGAGCTGCTAGCCATAGTATCAGGGGTGCAGCCAATAGACTTGGAGACTGCTTCTTGGGTGAACTCTGGGTCAAAGTGTTTCAAGTCAGCAGGTCCTGCCTGTCAACAGAAGCCAATGATGAGGAGAGGGCATTGGGATCAGAGCTGCCAAAGGAACCGAAAGCCCAGGAGAGGGATGCCAAACCTCCCCTCAGTACCTCTTGGTGATCCACACTTAACTGTCACTTTCCCATGCATCTCCATTAATCATCTTATTCCACGTGGCTGATTTCTCTTACCCCAAGGCACCCTGCCTGCTCTACACCAATCCTCAGACAAGTCTGTCAGTCAACCTATATTCACTGAATGCTTGCCAGGCATTGTTTATGACACTGGAAATATGGGAGAACAAAATAGAGTGAGCCTCTGCTTATAGGAGCTTGCAGTATGTGGAGGGTAGGAGGATTGAACAAAGCATTTATATAAGTAGAACGTTCAGGGTCCTAGATGGAGGAGGTAAAAGAGGGTAATATGGTAGAGAGGGACTGGGGCTGCTCTAACTATTTTGCAGGAAGAGCCATTTGAGTAATTGTAAAAATGATCACAAATTCTCCATTTACCATCCAGAGGTGGAGGTTCTCTATCTTTTAAATATGGGTTAGCCACGTGACTTGCTCATGCCAATGGAACACTGACAAATGATTGGAGTGGAGGCTTGAAAAAATGTGCCTTGGGAATCAAGGTGAGAGGCTGTAGGAAGGAGAACCCAGGTGCCCTGGCAGCCTGCCAACTCCCAGACACACGAGGCAGTTCTAGATCAATTGACTGCTGACCACAGATATGAGAGAGCTCTACAGAGAACAACTGGCCTGGCCCAGATTTAAAAAACACTAGTCAACCCATGGAATATGAACAAGAAAAAATATTGTTGTTTAGGACTGGGGGTATAGCTCAGTGGTAGAGCACTTTCTTGGTATGTGTGAGGCCCTGGGTTCAAGCTCCAGCACCCCATAAGAAAAGATTATTATTTGAAGACACCTACTTTGGGAGTGACTTGTTATGCAGTTAGAACTAACAAATGCAGTCTTTCTGCAGAGGTGACCCAGTCAGAGGAGAAGATAACACCCTCTGGATGTTATGAAGTAAGCAGGTGAGCAAGTAGAGGGGTCTGTAGATCTACTTTCACGTGTAAGTCTTGGGCTCTGCAAACAAACATGCCATAACTTCCAACTTCTCAAAAAGGTCACAGGCCATGTGCTGTGGCACATACCTATAATCCCAGCTACTTGGGAGGCTGAGGCAGGGAATCAAGTTCAAGGGCAGCCTGGGCAAATTAGCAAGACCCTGTCTCAAAAAGGGTTGGGAGGTACTGGGGTTGTGACTCAGTGGTAAAGCGCTTGCCTTGCACATGTGAGGCACTGAGTTCAATCCTCAGCACCACATAAAAATAAATAAAGGTATTGTGCTCATCTACAACTAAAAAAAAATTTTTTTTAAAGGATTGGGAATGTAGCTCAGTGGTAGAGTGCCCTTGGGCTCAATCCCCAGTACAAAAAAAAAAAAAACAGAAAAGAAAGAAAGAAAAGCCATAGGGTTCAGAGCTCCAAGACCAGAATGTGGATCCTAGCTCTGGCCCTTGTTAGCCTTGTAGCCCAAGACAAGCAGATATTTTCCGTTTTTCACAAATGAAGAATTTGATGCTAAAGAAAATTCTTCAAGGTCTCACAAGTGGTAGGTAGCAGAACCAGGAATCCACTTCCAGTACGTCTCACTCTGATGTCCCTGTATTGCTACATCATTTTGCATTCCTTTCTAGAATTCTGTGTATCGTTCTCTAAGGTATATGTGTGATATCATCCTTACTGTTAAAATCCCAAGGAAAGAGTGCTAGAGGTTAGCAAAGGACTCTGGTAGAGAGCATGGCTAGCTTGTGTGAGGCCCTGGATTGAACCCCAGCACCACAAAGTTAGAAAAATCCAAAGGGGAAAAGAAAAAAAAAACTTTTCAAGTGCTGAACTGAATGTATCCTATATGACAACCATTGTTAAGAATCTGGTGCTCAAAGACACATTCATGAACAGGTACCAAAGAGAAAATGTAAATCATGAACTAACATTGGCTGTATTCAGTATGCAGCCTGGTAGAGAAAGTAGGACCCTGTGCTGCACAGGTGATGTATAGAACCTCCCTCATCCACCTCGAACACAGCTCCTTTCAGTCATGGGACCACCATAAATTACATTTAAACGCTCGACACCTCCACTGTGGATCAAAGAAACATGATTAAAACACTAAGAGATGCCACTTTTTATCAGATTTGCAAAGTGAAAAAGAGTTAAGAACAGCATGCTGCAGAGGATGAGGAAGATGAAAACCCACCAGAAGACAGAACAGGAGGAAGAAGATAGTTCTCCCTTGTGCGTGGTGAATAGGCGAGTGCAAACCAAGGGCCTGGAAACGGTGGTGGTCTTTGACTGCGCAGTTACCCTTCTGAAACCCACCTTCAGAAAATAACCAGAATTCTGGGCAAAGATACATACTTAGAAGATGTTCATCAGCACATTATGAAAGAAAAAAATGATGTTATAGTTTGGATGTGCGGTGTCCCTCAAAAGCTCTCATGTGAGACAATACAAGAAGGTTCCGAGAATAAATGATTGGGTTACTAGAACCTTAACCCAGTCAGTGACTTAATCACCTGATGGGATCAATTGAGTAGTAACTGAAGGCTGGTAGGGTATGGCTGGAGGAGGTGGGGCATTGGGGGCAAGGCTTGGGGGATGCATTTGGATCTGGCAAGTGGTGTCTCCCTGCTTTCTGATCATCATGTGAGCTGCTTCCCTCCACTACACTCTTCTGCCATATGATGCTCTGCCTCACCTTGAGCCCCAAGGAATGGAGCCTGCTGTCTGTGGATTGAGACCTCTGAAACCACAATTCCCCAAATAAACTTTTCCTCCTCTAAAGTTGTTCTGGTTGGGTCTTTTAGTCACAGCAGTGAAAAGCTGACTAAAATGAATGGTAATGGCCTAAAGTTCACCATGTGGAGCACAGCTGAGTAAGTTCCTCCCTCACCCCGCTACCCCTTGGATTTTTAAAAAATATTTAGTTGTAAATGAATAAACAGTGTCTTTATTTACTTTTATGTGGTGCTGAGGATTGAACCCAGTGCCTCACACATGCTAAGCAAGTGCTCTACCATTGAGCCACAACTTCAGCTCCAAGTAAGTTTGGTCATTAACATAGGATGAAAATATTATGCAGCCATTAAAAATGATGTTTATATAAAGTTTTATATTGTGTAGAAAAAAATAATAGCATAGCCTATAAGCAATAAAAAGGGAAAAGATATACACACACTTGTATATAGTCAGGCCTCTACATTCATGGGAATCCTTAGCTATGGATTTAAACAACTGAAGATTAAAAATATTTTGGGGAAAAACTATTGGTACTGAATATGTACAGACTTATTTCCTAAATAATATAGCATAACAAATATTTTCATAGAAATTACATTGTAAGAGAAATTATAAGTAATCTAGAGATGAATTAAAGTACATAAGAGGCTATGCATAGGTCATATGTAAATACTATGCTATTTAAATAAGGAACTTGAGCATCCCACAGGGGCAACTGTGAGTAGAGAGAGAGACAGACCAATACAAATACACACACACACACAAAAAAAAATGTGTGATTTAACTATGTGGGAAAAACACACACACACACACAAAGGCTGGAAGTCCCTGGGTGGTGAGATACAAAGCATTTCCTCCCTGCTATTTTAATTTCTCTGCTCTCCATACTTTCCACAAGAAATATAGGCCGTTTTTATTATCAGGGAAATGTCTAAAGACATCTCCATAGGGTGTGGCTCTGCCTGGGTATGCAGTGTGACACAGACAGCTTACAAACTGGAAAGGGCCCTGCCGTGAGGGTTATTGGTCCTGAAGATGCAGCAGTGTGGCTTCTGCCTCAGAGCTGAGCTTGCTGACCGGACTTGGAAGTGCCTGAAAGGGTTCTGCCTCTAATTTTAGCAGGTGACTCGGATAAATCATTGAACCTTTTGGACACTCGATGTCTCCGTTGGCATAAAGAGAGTTGGGTAATTGCAGTGGCTAGGGAGGCTGAGGCAGGAGGATCACAAGTTTCAGACCAGTCTCTGCAATTTGGTGAGGCCCTAAGCAACTTAGCAAGACCCTGCCTTAAAATAAAAAGACTAGGGATGTGGTAAATTACCTCTGGGATCAATCCCTGGTACCAAATGAAAGAGAGAGGGAAGGAGGGAAGGAGTTGGGGGGCAGATACTCTCCAAACTGACCAGTGCTGGGAATCCAAAATCTAGAATATTGTGACCTCTTACCACATTTGGGTTGAAGGGCGGCGTCAGTCTCTTGTGGTACAAGTCATCCCAGTTTATGGGACTGAAGAATACATGGTTCTTTATCTCCAGCTGCAAAACGAAGGTTCTGATCAGAAATAGCTCTCCCCTCCCCCACCCCCACATCCTCCCAACTCTATAGCAACTGGCTTTTAACTGCACAGACCTTGAAGTTCTGGCTGGTTTCCTGGGTGTTCTGCAGCCTGGCTGTGGCCTTCCCCCCCCCCCCATCATCCAAAACCCCCCATTAAAGTACATCCGCAACTGGATACCTCTCTAAATACTTACACCATTCTAGGGTCTGAACTGAATGTCAAGGAATGAGAACTGGTTCTGGAAGGTGGGGTGGTGGTGAGAAAGTGAGCAGGGAGTTGGGGATCCACCCCTGATGCATCAGTACATCTTGAGACTTCCCAGAATGCAATCCAGAGGAAGGTTTGAGAAATAAAGCCCCAAGAAAAGCCAAAATTCCCAGAGACCCAGAAGTGAGGACTCAGCCCTAGGCATGCTTCACCACCTCTTTCCTTATCAAAATCAACACTGGGCCAATGTGGTGGCACACGCCTGTAATCCCCAGAGACTGGGGAGGTTGAGGCAGGAAGATCACAAGTTCCAGGCCAGCCTCAGCAAGTTAGTGAGACCCTCAGCAATGTAGCAAGTCCCTGTCTCAAATAAAATGTAATAAGGACTAGGGGAGGAGCTCACTAGTAAAGTACCCCAGGTTCAATCCCCAGCAGCAAAAAGAAGATCAAACAGAAAAAACATTGGCACCAACTTTCCTCCCAGCAGGATCCGTATTCTAACGCTGTTTCTCAAAGAATGATTCTCCAGTCCCCTGTATCAGGACTGCCTTCTGAGCTAGTTAAAAAGCCAGACTCAAAATCTCCAGAAGAATACCCAAGAAATTAGTAATTTGTGCTTCCTCTAAACTGAGGTAGGTACTAGGTAGACAGAAGGACTTTTTCTGGATACCATTTTGTAGATTTTGATTTTAATCTGTGTGAATGAGTAATTTATCTTAAAAATTACACATAAATTTGAAGATGCAAACTTCCCCTTGGGAATTTCTGGGCAAAGAAGCTTCCAGTTCTTTAAGCGGGGCAAGGAAAGGTGGGCAAATGCCCCAGAAGTTACACTTCACTGGCTCTGGCACATCGAGCTTTGGTGTGAACACTTAGAAACCTTTTCCTCCCATTATTGTCCACCTGTGCGTATCATTTCCTTCCTTACATTTGTGATAATTACATATAATCTTTGCTTTTATTTTTGTTTTGTTGTCAGCCTCCTTTACCCACCCCCCCACACTTAATAAGGACAAAGACCTAGACTGTTAAATTTTTAGCACCTAGCTCAATGTCTGTCACGTAGTAGGTGCTCAGTAAACATTGGTTTACTAAAGAAACTGGATTAAAGAAAGTAGACAGCTGGTAGCTGTAGTGAATTTCCAATGGAGGTGTTAGCAGGCTGATTTTAGAGGGGAGCAGGAAGCGTGGTGATGTACCACTGAGCTGCCTCTTCAGGGAGTTGAGAGCCCCCAAAGAGGCCTATGCTCTAGCTGGCAGGTCACCTACAAAGTCTGCCTTGGAGCCCAGCCTCTGCCTCTGGTCTTTGTGGAGAAGGCCTTGCAGGAGGTCGCAGGCAGCCACTGTCCGGCCTCCGGGAATCTGGAGTGGCTGGTGCAGAATGTTCTCATACATCTGGGACACGTCTTGGCTGTAGAAGGGTGGCTGGTAAGAGAGGGAGAAGCTGGAAGATCACCCATGCGAACGTGGAATTGGGTCTCAGGGAACCAGAGCAACCAGGTTGCCAGGAGGACCCATGGTGTCCTGTGCAATGGCTCACATGGCAGATGCGGAAAGACAGGACCTCTAGGCACCCATCACAGGCGACAGTCAGGGCTGCTGAGAAGGTCACAAGGCTCTTCCCACCTGTGAGAGGTTCATGGACCTCCCAGGGGCATCTCCCATCCCAGCTCTGCTAATCCAGCTGTGCACCAAGCTTACACCTGGACCTTCGTCACTTCCTGCCAGCTCACAACCATCCTCTGAGGCTCTGGTTTTTTGGATGAGAAGACAAAGTTCACAGCAATAAACCGCACTGCTAGGAAGACAGTGAGACTCCAAACCCTACTCGGGGTCCACTTCTCTTCCTTGCCGCTCTTCCTCCTGCTCCTCTTCCAGCTGGTCTTTCTCCTGACCCCCACAGCTTCCTGCTTCACCATGCTGTGCTGGTGAACCCCCCGCTCCACACAGGCGGAGACCTACCCAGGCAGTTAAGCTGGGTTCACAATCTTTCCAGAAGGACTATGACCTCTTTGGCCTCAGTTTCACACTTAGTAAAATAAGAACAACTCTGTGCTCTATAGTACCAGGCTCCCAGACTGTATCGACGTGGCCAAGGTAAGTTGGTGTGTAATAAACTGTAAAGTGCTGAACTAACATTATTGAAAAAAATAGATCGAATCTTCATATTCACTTTGGCATCACCGTTTTTTCATCTGGGGTGAGAGACGGTTCATTTAATTCCCTGAACACAGCTTGAGCAAGCCACATGAAGGAGAGACTCCCCCTCAGCTCTCCCCAGAGACACATGTCCTCTGTAGACAGGGGCTCCCCACTCACCAGGCCATGTAGCATCTCGTAGAGGACTGCTCCTAAGCACCACCAGTCCACCGCCCGATCGTAAGGCTCCTTACGAAGCACTTCAGGAGCCAAGTACTGTTGGGGAAACACACTTATTTAAAAGATGTTTATGATGTGGGGAAAAAGGAACCCTTTTACACTGTTGGTAGGATTGTAAAGTAGTCCAACCACTATGGGAATCAGTGTGGAAACACTTTAGAAGACTAGGCATGGAACCACCATATGAGCCAGCTCCACCACTCCTCCATATTTAGCCTTTAGTATTAAAATCAGGGCTGGGGATATAGCTCAGTTGGTAGAGTGCCTTCATTGCATGCACAAGGCCTTGGGTTCAATCCCCAGGACCACAAAGAAAAAAAAAAAGAATTAAAGTCAGCATACTGCCAGACACAGTGGCACATACCTATCTGTAATCCCAGCACTCTGGAGGCTGAGGCAGGAGGATTGCAAGTTCCAGGCCAGCCTCAGCAACTTAATGAGGCCCTAAGCAACTTAAAATAAAAAGGACTGGGATGTAATTCAGTAGTAAAGCACCCCTGGATTCAATCCCCAATACCAAAAGTAAATAAATAAATAAATATCGTATGTTATAGAGATCCATGCATACTCATGCTTATAGCAGCACAATTCACAATAGCCAAACTGTGGAACCAGCTTGGGTGCCCATCAACAGAGGAATGAATAAAAAAAATGTGATATGTATATATGCAATAGAGTTTTATTCAGTCATAAATAAAATGAAATTATGTCATTTGCAATAAAATGGATAGAGCTTGAGACCATCATGTTAAATGAAATAATTCCTACTCAGAAGGTCAGGGTTGCATGTTTTCTCTCATATGTGGAAACTAAAGAGGAAAAAGGAAAAGAAAAGTGGCAGGTGATCCCATGAAGAGCAAAGGGAGATCAGTAGAATAGGGGGAAGGGACCGGGAAGTGGGAGAAAGGAAGGAAAGGGAAGTGCTGGGTTCGATGTTGGCCAAATTATATCGTTATACTGTGTGCCTATGCTAATTAACAACAAATCTCATCATTACAGACAACTAAAATGCACCAAAAAAATGTAGATAAGAAAAGATGCCCAGCCTCAGTGTCTCCATCTGTAAGCAAAGCACTTAAAGGAGAAGATGAGCAGGGGTGGAGCTTGCTGTGATATTCACGGGGTGTGCCCATGTTCATGTGGCATCCATTCACCAAAGGCCTGGGTAGTGCAGGGACCTGTGCCATGTGCTGGGGACAGAGAGATCAAGCAAGACTGCCCTGCACAGCTATGCAGCTGTGCACCACATGGCAGTTTTACCAGCCAAAGATGTGGACAGGGGCTGCAATCCTGGCCATGGTCTACTCACCAAGCCATAACACTAGTTCAGAAGTTTATCTGGCAACTTTATTTTTGCTTCAGGGGTGCCTTTTCTACTTAGTCGGCTCAGAGCAGGTGCCTTCTAATTTGCACAGAGGTATTTAATGAGCTATTGGTGTCCCAGGGAGTACTCAAGGGATGGGGAGAATAATGGACAAAGTCTAAGCCATGTTGCACACACTTGGACTGGAAACCTGAGTGGCAGAGAAGAGGTCAGGAAAGAGGTGGCACTTCGGAGTGCTTGCCATGCATCTGTGCCTGGCATAAAGAGAGAATCCAGGCTGTACCTTCTACTAAACCCCAGAGCTTGGTAACCTCTTAACCTGGGATCTATACTAATGATGAGAGTGATCTCAGCATCATGCCAAGCTACCCTGAGAGACTGTGTGGGTCAGCAGAAGGGCAGAGAGTCTCACAGACCTGAGACCTCCTTGGTGTGGTCTCAGATGGGTCATTTAACTTCTCAGAACTTTGTTTTCCTCATCCATAAAAGGGGATGCAGAGGGCTGGGGTTGTGGCTCAGTGGTAGAGCACTTGCCTAGCATACATGAGGCACTGGGTTCAATCCCCAGCACCACATAAAAAATGAGAAAAAAAAAGGTATTGTGACCATATACAATTAAAAATATATTGAAAAAAGGGGGGTATGCAGAATCCCTCCTGGTGGCTGGTTTAAGGCTACCTACAGGCCCTTGAACAATGGGAGCAACAGTGGTTACTCTTGTCTGCACTCCCTGAAACCACAATGGTGGCGGAGTTGTGGAAGAAGGGATGTGTTGGGGCCATATGTCTCCTACAGGAATCAGGGTTCCACATCCTCCAGCAGTGACCAGCTGCCAGCTCCCGGCCATGTCCAGGGACTGGATGGCTTGGCTATCAGGCTTTGGAGGGCAAGCATAATTCAGGGAACACTTTCCATGCACAAACATAAACAATAGCTCCTGCTCAGAGAGGGCATCTGTGCCAGACCAAGGAGGTTCACCTGAGATTTGAGGCCCAGGTTTCCAAGCAAATGGGGTAGACCAGAGCAGCTCAAGTCTTGGCCCTTTCAGGTCAGGAGGAGCTGCCCAGCTTTGCAGCCTTAGTCCTGATGCCTGTCCAAGCCACTGGGGTCTCCTTCAGGTCCAAGGTCCAAAGTCCAAGGTCCAAGACTGGTGAAAGTTCAAGGAAAGTTCTCAACCCCACAGCTGCAGGGAGGCCTGGGCCTCCTGTGTGTGGAGAGGCGGGTGAAATTACTGCTGCAACCCACAACTTTTAACCCTCCAGGCTCTCATTGGCCGGAGACGGAGGTGGATCTGTGTCTGACTCTTGTGAGCCTTGATCTTAACTCTTAGGCCAGGCCACCTGTAGCACGTGGACTTTGCCCTATGAAGCAGGGCCGTTCAGTACAGCAGCCGCTAGCCATGTGTGGCTACTGGACAGTTGAAATGTGGCTAATCCAAATCAGATGTGTGACAATGTAAAACAAATGCTTGATCTCAAAGCCTTAGAAACATGAACTGTTCAATAATTTTTATATTTATTGTATGTTGAAATGAGGATATTTGGAATATAGTGGGTTAAATAAAACATAGTTAAAATTAATTTCAATGTTCCTGGGGATTTTTGTTGGTGGGGCTTTGTTTTGTTTATACTAGGGATTTAACCCAGGGTCACTTTACCACTGAGTTATCTCCTCACTCCTTTTTATTTATTTATGTTTAATTTTGAGACAGGATCTCATTAATTTTGCTTATGACCTCGCTAAGTTGCTGAGGCTGGCCTCAAACTTGAAATCCTTCTGCCTCAGCCTTCTGAGTCACTGGGATTACAGGTATGTACCACCATGCCAGGCTTATTTTTGTTTTTGAGATGGGGCCGCACTATGTTGCCCAGGCTGGGCTTGAACTTGTGACCACCCAGCCTCAGCCTCCCAAGTAGCAGGGATCACAGACACACACTATTGTGCTTGGTGCTCACCTGTTTCTTTTTATTTTGTTTTATTTTTGCAGTGCTGGAATTGATCCCAGGGCCTCACACATGTTGGTCAAGGGCTATACCACTGAGCTTCACCCTCAGCCTTGTCATTTGACTTTTTAAATGTAGCTGCAGGGAAGTTTTAAATTGTGTACGTGGTTTAAATTTTATTTCCTTTGGAGAGCACTGCCACAGAGCAGCACCAGAGCTGGCTGGGGCCTATTCCAGCATCTCTCACCACACAGAGGAGGAAACCAAGGCTCTGCACACATCTGGCTGGGGGGAGGGGAGCCTGGGGGGATGGCAGGAGCCCCTCAGCTGTAACTTGATGGCTCTACTCAGGAGCTGTGGCCTTGGCCATTCATGGCCTGCCCTCTCCTAGGACATGCACACTTACCTCGGGGGTGCCACAGAATGTGGATGTGGTGTCCTCGGGCTCCACACCTTCCTTACAAAGGCCGAAGTCCGTCAGCACCACGTGTCCCTGAGAATGAGAGATGGCAGGGATGGGAGGGTGGTCTAAGCTGAGGGAGGTCCCGGCCTAACCCCAAAGCCCAGATGCCACCGAGCAGGCCGTGGCTGTGGGTCTGAGGCCCAGACACAGGCTGGAGGCTCCACTCTGACCCAGGGCTTGGAGAGTACCACGGGGCACAGGGGGGGACATGGCATTCTACTGTCTTCCTAGTTCATCGTGGACTCAGCCCCAGACCCACGACAGTGAAAGCTCCAGGGTGTCCTGGCTGGACAGCAGCCCCGTGAGAGAGGGACCTGTGACAGCTGGGTGGGAGGGTGGAGTGGGTGGGTACTGCGACTGCCCACATCTCCCCTACTGAAGCTGCCACCCCCACAGCTGGGACCTGCCTCTTCCCCCCAGAGACATTCATATCCAGTGACAGGTTGAGGCAGGGCACTAAAGTCCAGCCTCTGGGCCTCGATTTGGGACAACCCTTACGACAATCCTTACGATCCATCCCAGCCTGGGTCCCCATCCCTCTGAAATCAGCTGAGGCCTTGCTTGCAGCCACCATGCAGGTGAGCTTTTCCTCTGCCCAGTCCTGTCTTCTTCACCCCTTAAACCTGTATCTCCCCATGAACCTTCTGGCAGACTGCCCTCCTGATCCAAGACAAGGAAGGACCATAAAATCCACCAGCCCTCCTGTCTCACAGACCTCGTGTACACATGTGTACACACACACACATGCACACATAGTGTACATATGTACACGTGTACATATGTGTGGGCACCCATGCACATGCGTACAGAAGTGCACCCTCTCCCCGTGTGCATGCATGTGCAACACACACACACAGACACACAGAGTGCTCACATGTGCACGCGCACACACACACACACCAACCTCGCAGTCCAAGAGAATGTTCTCCGGTTTTAGGTCCCTGCAGAAAATAAGAGAAAATAGCCTGGTGGAGCCTTGGCTATATAATGACAGAGTTGGGGACCCTGGGTCCTGGCAGGAGGACTATTCACGCAGGCTCCCAGGGTGTAGAGGGAAAGCCCAGGGAGGCTGGGCACTTGGCTCCAGGGAGGAGGACACCCAGCCCTTGTCCTCTGGGATCTCATTGGAGTTTAGAGGTCCATATACCCCCCGGCTATTGGGACAGGAAGGGACTGGGCCCGGCTCTGAGCCACAGACCGTCCTCACCTGTAAATGATGTTGAGGGAGTGCAGGTAGCCAATGGCGCTGGCCACTTCAGCAGTATAGAATCTGGCCCGGGGCTCCAGGAACCTACGCTCCCGCTGCAGGTGGAAGAAGAGCTGAGGAGAAGGAGGTGTGTGAGGGGGATCCTGGTTCCACTTCTAGGGCACATCACCCCACCTGAGCTGCAGGTCAGTTCCTTCCCACAGGGTAGTCACCAAGTCCAAAGTGACCATGGAAGGAGAGATTTCCCAGCACTGATTAAGCACAGGCTCCAAGTCAGGCCCTTCACATCTTATCTCATTTAATCCTCATGACAACAGCCAAGGTACCCATGTGATGCCAGTTTCACGTAAGAGGAAAATGGGGGGAGTCAGAACAGTTAGGGGACTTGCTCAAGGTCATGTAGCTCATAATTGGCAGAGCTGGAATTTGAAACTGGGTGGTTTAAAGTTGTGCCTTTCCTCCAACCCAAGCAAAACAATGATTATAGCGGTCACACTGAGGCCAGGTTACACCTCCCCGTCGACCAAAGCTAGATCTATTTTATTGGTATGCAAAGGCCTTTACTTAGGGATGCAGGATAAAAACTCCCCTCTTGGCTTGGTGATGAGGATCGACCCAAAGTCATTCAGTCACAGGTTCAATCTGGGGTCATGGAGGCAAGTCCCACTAAATCTTGCCAACTTGCCCAGTGAAACAGTAAAGTCCAAGAGGGAGCCCAGCTTATGCCCGGCCATGCTTCTGGGTCACCAGTTGGCTCCCTCCATTTATGATGGTGACAAGCTACCTCCTATCCTGTGGCCTGTGGTAACAAAGGGAGAGTTGGAAACCTTGACCACAGAGCACCTCTTAGCATTGACCTTTCCCAGGTCGACGGAAGGGAGTCTAAGGGCAGCTTTGTGAGAGAAAGACAAGAAAGCAGCATGGCTGGGAGTCAGATCGACGTTCATATCCTGGAGCAGGCTGGGTGGCCTTGAGCAAGTGATCGGCCTCCCTGGGCCTCAGTTTCTTCAGCTACAAAATGGGTCTGTTGTAAGGATGAGGTGAGACCATTCTTGGCACACAGTGGGCGTGTGGGTGGATGCCTTCCAGCCGACAGCTGGCCCCTCACCTCTCCTCCATTGACATAGTCGAGTACAAAGTAGAGCTTCTCGGGCGTCTGGAAAGAATAGCGCAGGCCCACGAGGAAGGGGTGCCGCACGTTCTTCAGCAGCACATTGCGTTCCGCCATGATGTGGCTCTGCTGTGGGGTCAGACGGGTCCATGTCACAGCTCGCCAGGCCTCTCTTACCTCACTGGCACTGCCAGCATGGCCTTGCTCTTGGGGTTGTCTTGACTAGGACTTTCTTAAGCCCTTGCTCAAACACCCTCAAAGACTCCCTAGTGCCCTTCAAGCCAAGCCCAGTCTCCTTGCCTAGTATTCAGGCTTCAGCATGGTTAGCTTCATTCCCACCTATTACACCTATTGGTATAGTAACTTCAACCCCTGAATCAGCAATTCCTGACCCACTCCAGCCAACAGGGAGGCTGAGGCAGGAAGATCACAAGGTCAAGGCCAGTCTCAGCAACTTAGTGAGGCCCTAAGCAACTTAGCAAGACCCTGTCTCAAAATAAAAAATTAAAAGGGCTGGGACTGTGGCTCAATGGTGGAGCACCTCTGGGTTTGATCCTCATCACCAAAAACAAACAAAAAATGTTGCTCCCAGGGTGGAAAGCAAACTATATGTGAGACCTTCATAAAGGAGTTTCAGGGGGAAATCCTTAAGGGAAAAAAAAAAGCCACGTGCTATCTATAGTCACATCTTTGCTCTTGCTATTTTCCCTCCCTGGACAGCCATCCTCTTTTTAGACTACCAGAATGCTACTGCAAGGCCAGCTCAATACTCCTTTTTCCAGAAGACCTCCCCTTGAACCCCCACGACATCCTTGTGTGCACTAATCACTCTTCCCCCCGAGTCTCCTAACTGGATACTCAACCCTCTCTCTCTGTTCTCCTAATGGGGTTGGGTGTTAAAGGGACTCAAGTCGGCTGAGGTATCTAGAAATCCAGGCTGGCCATGACTTGAAGGGCCTTTGGAGAATATAAGGTGTGGCCCCACATAAAGTGTGAGCCTATGGGGCTGGGAATGTGGCTCAAGCGGTAGCACGCTCGCCTGGCATGCGTGCGGCCCGGGTTCGATCCTCAGCACCACATAC